TTCAGGCGACCACCCCAGGAGCACTTCAGGCGCCCACCCCAGGAGCATTTCAGGCGCCCACCCCAGGAGCACTTCAGGCGACCGCCCCCAGAGCACTTCAGGCGACCACCCCCAGAGCATTTTAGGCGACCACCCCCAGAGCATTTCAGGCGCTCCCGAGAGGAAGATTTCAGACATATGCCAGATGAAGACTTCAGGGGCCCTCCAAATGAGGACTTCAGACACCCTCCTGATGAGGACTTCAGGAGTCCCCAGGAAGATTTTAGATCCCCTTCTGATGAGGATTTCAGGCAGCTCCCGGAGGAAGACCTCAGGGAAGTTCCAGAGGAGGATCCTAGACTTCCTGACAATTTCAGACCTCCTGGTGAGGATTTTAGGAGCCCACCTGATGATTTTAGAAGTCATCGCCCTTTTGTGAATTTTGGTCGTCCAGAAGGTGGCAAATTTGATTTTGGAAAGCGTAATATGGGAGGTTTTCCTGAAGGGAGATTTATGCCTGATCAGAAGTTAAACTGTGGTTCAGGTAGAGTAACTCCTGTTAAGATAATGAATCTTCCATTTAAAGCTAATGTTAATGAAATTTTAGACTTTTTCCATGGTTATAGAATCATACCTGATTCAGTTTCAATACAGTATAATGAGCAAGGATTGCCTACAGGGGAAGCCATTGTAGCTATGATAAACTATAATGAAGCCATGGCTGCTATTAAAGATCTAAATGATAGGCCAGTTGGCCCCCGCAAAGTTAAGCTAATTTTGCTTTAGAGAGCATTTCTAATCCCACAGTATTGATGCAGTAAAATGCATTTTTTTAAAAAAGTGTTTATTTTTAGTTATATGGTGAAACAGTTTAATTTTGACCTGTGCATAGAAAAACTGTAAATAGTTGAATGTGAATCTGCTTCTTTTGCTTGCAAATTGCCATTTATTTTTTTTCTAACTTAAAATTATATATGTTTTTTTTTTTTTTCTTTGCTAGGGCAGTGTTTAATTTTTGTTGATGTTATGGGTAAACCTCAGACTTATATGGAGTTGTAGTTGGGAAAAATAAATTTTATATTCACTTTTATTTCATTCTGTAGTCAGCATATATTACTGAAACTGTAATAAGGAAATGGTCAGTGACTAATTTTTCAGGTTTGGCATTTTCATCACTACCTGCCTACAGAATTCATGCCCTCTGGTCTGAGATATTGCTGTGTTAAGGTCTCCTGTTAATTATAAATAGTTAAAAATGAACAGACTGTGAAATTGAAATTTATTTGTGTAAAAAGCTTAGGGGATTCTTAAAGTTTCCATGTTCATAACTTTGCAAAGTTTTTTTAAAATAAAAGAAATTACAACTGAAGAGACTTAACTAATTAACTTATTTGTATAAAAGTATTGCAGTGGGTATTATGGTTTTTCAACAGCTCTATTAAACTACATTTTTGATGGGAGGGACCAAACATTCTGAAATATGTATAGTTCAGTGGTTTCTGCAACTTCTTATTAATCAGATTGATAAAATTAACATGAAATAGTCAAAAGACAATAAAAATAAGGTACCAGGGGGACTCTCGGGTCTTTGCTGGGAAGAATTTGATAAATGGATGTAGTTTTTCTAGGAAGAAGTTACTGATGATTTACATAACTTGTTTATTTTTAGGTTCTCATATTTTAGCTTCAAACCTTGTATCCAAAGACTGACTTCATGTTGAGTTGTAAGATTGAATTTTTACTTTGATATTTAACATTTAGTGCAGACATTTTTGCAAATACTGGATTTGATTTTCTTTACCCATAGCAATTCCCATGGCTGACATTTATGGATCACTTTCTATGTGTTAGGCATGATAAGAGTTTTATATGCATGATCTCAGTATTCCCTAAAAGGTACAGGATTTATTATTTACCTCTGTGATAATATTATTTTTTATCCCAAATGAGATAATGAAGTTTTGAGAGTTAAGCAACTTGCCTGAAGTCACAGTAAGCCATGGAGCCAATTACCCAAAACAGACCACTTACTCAAGAGTATGTTCTTTAATACTTTCACTGCCTCACTTTGTTAAGTGGTATTTTTAATTTCAGGAAGACCATGCTGGAAATATTTTCAAGAGTAAATGCTATTTTCTTACCTTCATTGTCAGTTTAAAAAATGATAAAACTAGTGTGCTCAGACATTGTTAAACAAGGAGAAAGTAGCTTTAAGAGTTTTTTATATATGTAGGGTTTCTCTTGGGATACTCACATTATATATAGGCTTCTAATTCAGAATTTTTCATTTCATCCAACATGATTTGACTGCTTGGTCTTTCATAGTTTGTATAAAATTTAAAGTTAATTTTCTTCAATTCTTTGATACAGGGATTTTTCCACATTGAGTAAAGAAAAGAATAAAATCGAAAATTTTATGGTAGTTTAATTATTAATTATAGGATACTGCAGAAGTAGACTACTTTTTCAGTTACTAACAATACATATCTTGGGTTAATTTTCATTGATATAAAGAAATTCAACAGAAGCCTACTTAAATTTCTATAGTTAATAGTGAAACTACTCAGTTTGGTTTTCAAAAAGCACCTCTGTGTGGCTCTTTAAACTAGTAAGTAAGCTTATAGATAGAATCATAAAACTGGAATATCTAAACCAAGCACAATGAACAAAATAGAAATAATATATTAAATTGCTTAATGATTATAGATGGTTTATTTTTATTAAACCTTCTTGAGTAATGAATGGAAGACTTGAATCCACTCTCAGCATTAAGCTAAGTAAGATAAAGCTTAAAGTGAAAAATCACCTAATATGTGATTGTTTTTCAAACTGGGCTGGGATGGGATGGTAGAGGTAGATGAGAGGCTAGCTATGGTAAATAACAAGTTTGTATTTTAATTTTGAAATTAAATGATGTGAATATTTTATTCTGTAACATTTAGGGCTTAATATTTTTCAACATTATTAAAAGTTAATAATGTTAATAATAGCTGGCTTCTACTGGTTGGGAGCCATTTTTGCCTGTCTCTTTCCCACTCAGCTTTCATTGATATGTTGATGACTGAAATTGGCCTTGGAAGCAGTTATTTATACCAGATTGGTAAATGTAGCAAATCAGGGCATTCTCCTCCCCTTTGTCATTCCAGATAACCAGTTTATCAGCACATCACAATTTCAGACAGTGTGTTACATCCTTTGTAACTGTCATTTCAAAACCAGTTTTCCTTTCTGTCCTGCCCAGAGATGTATTAGGTACACTGGAAATAGCATATTAATTCTCTATCATGGCACCCAGTGTCTGAAAGCTAAACATTTTGTCTAGAAGGTATCTGAAAAATATTAAACCATGTTTAGAAAGTAAACTTAATCCCATAATCAAGAGATAGGTAGAAATATATTCCCAAATATGATTTTTATCATTGTTAAGAGCACTAGAGTTCTGAAGACTTGTTGCCTCTATCTATGCCTCTGTCTATGCATTAAATAGTGGACTGCGTTAGATACTGCATTTATATTTATGATCTATAATTGTATATGAAGTACTATCACTTGATCAGGATGATCATCACTAAAGTGATGAAGATCTACAGGCTAAATAACTTGGGTTGGTTGCTTGCAGCAGGGAAGCTAAGAAAGGTTTTTACACTCTTAAATGTGGCTATATCTTAAGTGGTTACATAAGTAACTGTATAATAACCTTAGTTTGTGTTTCTTGGACCACAAAATGTGAAATATTTATCATCTGGCCCTTTAAGAGTAAGTATGCCAAACTAAGTTTAAACAATGAAACTTAATTTTACACTGATGAAGGTATTTTCATTTTCATTGACAGTATTCCTTTTGTTCTTAGTATATGTTTTATTCCAGAAGTATTTGTTGATTGATTCATTAATTAGGTACAAAAACATTTTAGCTATACAGGTGAGGCGCCTGTTGCTCAAGAGAAGTTACTTCTTAGTAAGCAGCAAGTAAAATACTGTAACCCTGTTTTTTTTCCTTTGAATCACAACACCAAATTTACTAACAATATCAACTTAGTGTTTTGAGAATTTTCTAAAAACATTGAAATAATTTTATTATTACTAGTCTTAGGAAGTCGTACTTTGTTAAACACAGAACCATGAATAACAAGTCAAAAAGCTTTCTAGAAACTCTTTTATTTTTCTGTTGCGAATAACTGCTTTTTTCCAGTTACCCTGAATGATTTCATAAATATCTGATGTGGATCCAGGAAATAACAAAAGAATAATTTCTTCCTAAAAGAAATAAAAGCAGTACATATACTAAAATGTTCTGATTAAATTTTTTTATATTTTTAGGAAATAGAATGACTTTATGACCTTTCATTAACTAGATGATAGCTTGGCAAAATTTTAAAGAGTTTTTTAGTGATTCATGGTGTTCCAAGATAAGGCAACATTCCAAAAAGTTATTTTTTTTTTTTCCAAATTGCAGTACCACATATAATTGTTTGGTATGATAGCACTTTTGTTTAAGACTAAAATATAAGCTTTATGGACACTTGTAAAACCTATTGTCATAATGCCTCAGTACCTTTACTGTATTTGATTACACTCTTGTTGAAAACTGTAAATTTACATATCAAATGACACATAGGTTTTAATAAAGGTAAAAGAGAAAAAAAGCTTTTTATTTAAGGCTTTATGAAGTAGAATTTGTAATCATACCTTTTCTGGTGTTGAAAACAGGGAGTCTTAAAAAGAAGCCATGAAGAACTGTTAAAATCTTTTTTTTTCTTTTTATCTATTGTTGCAACTTCAACTAGGTATAGTGAATTAATCTGAAATGTTTTGAAATACATAATCTTTTTTTTTTTACTGGAACTTATATTAAAAAAAATCACACAACACTAGGGTAGAATGTTGAAATGACTAGAGTATATCATTTTTTAAAACCTTCATTTTTGGTGAGCATAAATTTCTTTAATTATTTTTCCATTTTAGTAGGATTTCATTTTGAGGTGAAACCCATCAACTGAATATAAAGTTTTACAGTTTAGTAATCCAGAATTTCAATTCATTTAAGATGAAAATGGAAATAAGGTTTACTTAAAATTGATTTTCTTCTTCTGTAACATCTAAGTCGTCATCATCTTCATCATCATCATCTGCTTGTTGATCCTTTCTTAGCCGACAGGTAGCTATCTGTTAAAAATTAATATTTTAAAAATAAAGATACTTATTAAAATATTTTTACATTCTTGGTATCTTTTTATATGCCCTTACAAGGGTACATAGAAATTTATCATATATATGAAATTAACCATTTAATTCTGGTTAGATAGCTACCAGTAAGTAGTAACAAAATATGGACTCAGTATATTATGTATAAAAAAAAATTCTTGGGTTGCAAAAACAGCATTAGTAAATCATCAAAAGGATGGCAAAAACAGAAGGATATTTCAACTAGGCATGTCACAGAAATACTGATATAAAAATAGTGGGACTTAAATGGAATGAATTGAGAATCTGAATTCACCAGCTTACGTTCGGCATGTGCTTAACCCTTTCTAAGGGTGATTATAACTCCTAGTGGACACTTCTGGTTGTTTCAACTGTTAATATTTTTTGTGCATCTTGTGGGTAGAGGCTAGGGATGCTGTTTAATTAATATCTTTACAATGACAGGATAGTATAACCCTTCTCCTAAGTTACGTGGTCCCAAGTCAATAGAGCTAATGTTGAAAATCCTAGGATAATGTACTATACAAACATAAGTTAACTTAGGTAATATTTAACTAGTTTCAAATAGTCAAAACTTTATATGTAATATAATGACTAAGTTTATGGAATATATGTGCAAAGCACACATTAATGCTGAGATAGTAAAATATAATTTGGTTGAGGGAAGAAATACGTAACTATAAAGTAGAAAATGAATGCTTAGAAGAGAATCAAATGAAAATAGAAGGTATTTAGTCAGATTTCTATTTTCATCTAAAAGTTGTACTTGGAAAATATTTTGTTCAGTTTTAAATTGTGAAGGCTAGATACAGAAAGGTCAGAGCTCTCTAGACTATAGTTTGGCATGCTATCCTCGGTCCAGTTACTCTTGGCTTTCTGTATGTTAGAAGAAAAAAGAAAACTGGCTCTTTTTTTTCTCTAAAGAGCTGTATTGCTGGAGTCATGAAAATGTTCAGTGTAATTCATTTTGTAATTCATTTTTTGGGTAAATCTAAATGACAGCGAGGTTTAAACTGAATTTACAATCTATGCTCTTCATATACCAGACAACAAATCTACATTAGCATTCTTCTGTCTTTTCATCTCTGCTCTCAAAGAGTTCTGTTTCAGAGAATAATGTGTGACTATAGAAGATAAGAAATAACACAGTGTAGTTTTCTGTCCT